ATGCCCAGCCACGCCTGGAGGAGAGAGCCCCCGGCCTTTGTGGACGGGGCTGTTCCTTTGCATGTGAATGGGGGAGTTTGGTAAATCCCCGGGCCTCGGTTGGGGCGAGGAGGAGGAGGAGGAGGAGGAAGGGGGGGTCGCTCCCAGCTCGGGGTTAATGAAGTGGGAAAGGAGTCTTTCAGAGAGGCCTGCAAACAACCCCCCTCCCCGGGCAACAACCCCCCGTCCCAAATCCTACATGGATTGACTTAAACCCAGGGGATAAGTGCTTTAAATTAATCTCATTGAATAAGAATGAGGCCAAACAAAACTCTTTAAAATCATATTAAAAATCTATCAAAGGACAACTTGCAGTGGGTGTGCTTTTCATTTTGTGAGTGCAAAGGCAAGGAGCATACAGCAACCTTCCTCCCATTTACACAGCAGGAATTCTCTAATATTTAATTGTCCTTGTAGCCATAGCAGATTCCTCCTCTTACATTAATGAAGTACAAGGCTTCGTTACACGTTTGTAATTGCAATATTTAAATTTGCCATTTCACATCTGGAAGAAGCTGGAAACTCCTCTGAAACAGCGGGTCTGAGCCAGCGCCGTAAGGCGGTGACGGGGGCCGGTTGGCGTTAGGAGGACGGTAGGAGAGAGCGGGGCAGAGCCCCGAGGAAACCTCGGCTGCGGGAAGGGGAACGGCCGTGCCGGGTCTGGCGGGGAAGGAAAGAGGGGACGTGAGGGCTGGAGCCGTCTCCTCCAGGGAGATCTCACGCAAGGCAAGCTTCAAAATCAATCAGTTTAGGGAAGACACCACGCGCTGTAGGCTCTCGTCAGAGAGCGCTGCGCTCGCCACATGAGCAGCATCTTCTGCAGGAAGATTTCAGCAGCCTCCAAAGCTGCCGACGGCCCAGCCTCACCTCCAGCTTGTGCGCGGGGACTGAGACGGGAGCCCGCTGCCCGACAGCGGACCCCACACCGGCACCGGTCCTGCACCTACAGCAGCCCCAGACCGGCCTGGAAACTCATTTCCAGAGGCCGGTGCCAGGCAGGCACGATCCTGGCGCGTCCTGAGGGGTGGGACAGGCTGTGCCGGGTTGAAATTAGATGAAGCAGTAAAAATGGCACAGTTGAGAAGGAGCATCAGTCCCATTAAGGAAACCTTTGGAGTATTGCACCCGTTCTGCTCCACCGATTTCTCCTGGGGTACTGAGACTCCAAGAAGCAGGCTGCTGGAGGGTGGCTTCTGTCAGCTCCAGGCTCTGGATCTGAGACACAAAGCAGTTAGTGCAGGGGGTTTGGCAGGACCAGACACAACCTTGGCTCTCAAGCCCCTTCTGGGCTTTTACGCAGCTTGAGGGCCTTCTTCCTCCCCTCCCGACGCAGCTTTAACTGGGACTGCCACCCTGGGAACAAAGAATGAAAGCTGCTCCTCTGAACATGCCAACCCACACAAATTCAGTGAAATCAGTAGAATTGCTTCTAGCTGAGCTATTTCACGGTTTCGTCTGAACACCAAACAAAATTATGCCAGAATGGAAAGCCCAGAACAATCGGCGCTTTCCCTGTCCTCTCCCCCAGCTGGTGGAGAAAATAAAT